GGTTTTTCTCGGTCGGTGCTGGTAGCTATTATGGTTATAGGGGTAGTTGGTTTATAGGAAAAAGGGGATTTGAGCGATGTTGCATATTGTGAAACTTATGGGGAATTGGGGCACACCTGGTTGGCATGTCATAATCAGATGAGATGCTAGATACTGGTCGAAAACCTACTGTACCTTTTCTTCGACTCTTTTTGCGGACTTTGGCAGGTTTTCTTGGATAATGAGGTAGCATGTCAATATGACCTGTTTACACCTTTCCATTGTTCCAAATAAGTTTAAGCGTAAAAAAAGAGAAATTCTAGGGGGGCATTACCCCCCATGGGGTTAGGGTTACATATGGTCCCTGACCTGCCTTGTATATTATTAACCACATTATCAACCACATCAACGCTCACACCCTTGCAATTAAAGGCTCGACAAAAGCCTGGTAACTGAAGCCCTCGTGGAAGGCCTGACAATTGAAGGCCTAGTAATTGAAGCCCTGGATGAGGTGGTGTGAAGTTGAAGGCTTGCATTGGTGCGTGGGCATCGAGCATTAACACCACGGCAGTATATTTACTACAATACTTCCAAATATAAGAATACACTGTGATTTTTAGGGCACAAAATGCACTGCGATGCTGGTGATAATGGAAATGAACGGGTGTGATGGGAAAGGTATGTTGTGGTATGGGGGGTAATGCCCCCCCTTAGTAAAAGGGTAATAATGCCCCCGTAGAATTTTTCTTAAAAAAAAAAGAAAAAGAAAAGGTATGTAAAGTATAATAATCCCAAAACCAGATTCCCAGAACCGAATAATGAACCGATATATCCAAAAATGCCATAACAGTCATAAACTTCACCACCGCCCTCCCTACCTATAGTATGAGGAACGCACTCCCCCCAATAACCCCAAGAACCATCGCCGCCGTCACAAACCCGGCCGCGACCCTCTCCCCCGTGGTGATGGGCTTGTACTCCTTCCCCGTCATCCAACTCCCCGGCCCATCCGCACCCCCATTCACATCCCCCTTGCTCGTCCCGCCCGTGTCCCCCGTCACAGGCACATCAACCCTATCCACCAACGTCGACGCCACCGCGCTCCAGGCATTCATCTGCTCCCCCACCCCGTTCATCCCGTCATACCCCCCCTTTGTCCAGCTGACCCAGCCGTCCCTGGCCTGCCACGAAAGGGTTGCTCCCCAGGTGGTGCCTCAGTCGGCGAACCCGAACAGGCCTTCGCCGCTGCAATAGCGCTATTGGTCAGAAGCGGGGAGATGGACTCGAACGTATAAGGCGCCAGCTGTGTCGTCCTCGCCAGCCAACGAGTGAGATACCCCTTGAAACTCCGCTGATCAATATCGCAAAATCCCGGAGGTTCACAAAACTGTTCAAACATGACCCTCTCCCCATCGGTGCTGTTGGTGAAGAACGTCCTCTCGGCGGAAGCCAAGTGGCTGTCGAGGCGTCGTTTCCAGATCGGGTTCCCATCGGTAAAATTATACATCACCGCCGACCCGTGGATGAAAATGCCCGCGTTGTACGTCCACTGGATCTCGTCGATGGAGTCACAGCTGTTGCCCTCCTCCGGCTTGACCGTCACGCCGTCTAGCACGTCACCGTCCCGAAAAAGGCCGGTCTCTTCCTGCCAGGTGTAGATCTTGGCTGCCCACTCGGCGTAGGTGACGTTACCCGTGAAGCGAGCTAGTCGGGAGGCGATGTTGAAGAAGCAGCCGTTGGAGATGGAGTTGCGGTAGTTGAAGCCGCGGTTGAAGCGGAAGATTTGCCAGGGGAGGCCGCCGCCGCAGCCGGAGGACTCGTTTTCCTCCCAGCGTTGGGCCCATTGGTTGAAGACTGCTTGGGCGAGGGCGAGGTATTGGGGTTGGTCGGGGCCAGGGTCGGGGAATTTGAGCTCGGCGGCTGTCATGGCTGTCATGGCCCAGAAGCCTTGGTCGTCGTTGCCCAGCGTGCGGGTTTGGTTGCGGGGCATGAAGTCCCGGGTGGGGGCGGCTTGGTGGAGGATGGCTTGCTTTGTGATGTCGTTGTAGGTGTCGTCGCCGGTGAGCTGCCAGTAGTCGATTAGGGTGCCGAACATGGCGCCTGCTTCCCACCAGAAGTAGGGGTCTGGGAGGTTGCCGGGGGTGTCGCCGGGGAGGTGGCCGGTGTAGTATTTTGTGAGGCCGAAGGGATTTCGGCGGCGGCGGCTTTCACGGAAGCTGGAGGAGGGGGGGTGGGGTTAGGTTGGTGATGGTTAAAGGAGGAAAGGGGTAAAGGGGTGACTGACCTTCATCACTTATTACCATGTCAATGGCTGTGACAGTCTGCATCAACAAACTCGCCATCCCAAGGATGCCTCCTAATAACCTCATGATATCGAGTGTATGTGATGTATGTGTAAAGAAGAAAATACAACAAAAAAGAATCGAAGAAGCCCCTACCAAGCAATGACAGAGAAACAAACCACCAAACCACCAACAGCGTCAGAGAGCTCAAAGTATACAGCGAAGCAACTGATAGTCCATCCGTGAATAGGTATATCAGTAGGTGCCCAGTATGGTCCTGTCCGTTTGTCCAGCCTCGAAGCAAATCCGAACCGTCGAATCAGTCTCCCCTTCTCTTGTCCTACAACAGTTGGTCTCAGCCCTCTAGCAATAAGGTTGATATCAACCCTTCTTTTCAGGCCCCCAAATTCCAGGCCTTCCTTCCAACTTGTCGCTTAGAAACTGGCGCGCGGCCGGCCGTTGGTTGAGTGAGAAAACAGCCAAAATGGTAACCTCGTATCGTCAGACAAAAAGCCCGTCCCAAGTAGGTCGAAGGATCCTTCGAACAGTAACAAGATTACCGAGCGCGGTGACAGTGGGAGTCGAAAACCAAGAAAGGGCACAGCCTCAAAGAACGTATAGTCGAAAGGGAAATATAGAAGTCGCAAAAAAAGCCTAACCCAGAGGTGTGTATATCTGTATATAAAAAACGAACGCTCACCGACCGTCTAGGTGGGGGTTGTTACTTCAAATCGAAACGAAGGAGAAGAGAGAGAAAAGAGAAGAAAAAGAAAGTCACACCTCTAAGCCCATGAACCAAAATGACAGATGGACAACAGGCGGTGGTGATGTAGAAGGGAGAAGGAGAGGAAGTGAAAGAGAGAGAGAGAGAGAGAAAAGATGAGATGGAAGATCACAGATCTGCCCAGCTGCCAAAGTTTCACAAACCCCCATCCAGCCTAGACCTGGATGGAAAAAAGACAAGAGGGAAACAAAACACATGAATCTCAGCCCAAGCCAAGCGCAACTGCAATTTGGCTTGCTGCTGACGCCCGGTTGACTTGACATGTCGACCCCAAACCTGATGTGTTTCAGGTGCCCCGTTGACGTTGTCCCGGAGGGCTGTGCAAGGAGAGGGCCGACCCCTGTCTCCCCCCCACCGCCGCGAATCGCCATCAGTTGAGATCTGGATGTCTTGGCATGAAAAGATCTTGGATCAATCATGCTACATATCAGACGGTTGTTAGCTAGTGATATCTAGAAGAGAATACGTCGAGACTGCCCATGCCAGTTTAGAAAGGTTTCTCTTTGCTAAGTCGACCCCTGATTGATGACAACACAATGACCACCACTCAAGCATGCCAAGGCTCGAATGTTTCCAGACCAATGTCTGTCAAGTACGACTTCACTTGACCCAGAGAAATTCTTCATAACCTCCTTTTTGTCTATCCTCTATATACATCATAACAGTAACAAGATTTGCGCTGAAAAAACACGCAACGAAATGGGTATCCTAACACTCCTCAACCTACGGCAACTTAGTGCTTGCACCCGTGGGCGCAGGCCTTGTGCTTCTTGCTGGGCTTGTCGCCATCCTCCTCCGACTCATCGTCGTCAGACTCATCATCCTCGCCATCGCTGATGTCGTCGCTCTCCTGGGCCTGCTCTGTTTGGTTGTTAGTATTCTACATTCTGTTCACTGCTAACTCTGTCAACGGGGGCCACTTACGGAAGTACTTGAGGGCGTTGGGCCAGAGGTCATCAGCAATGGCCATGGCAACGGTATCGCCATCAGGGAAAATGTCAAGCTCTTCCTCGTCCTCCCAATCCTCATCATCCTCATCCTCCTTCATCTCCTCATCCTCCTCGACCTTCTCGCCGGCCTGGCGCTTCTTGCGGTCCTCGGCCTCCTTCTTGAGGGCCTCGATGTTCTCCTCGGCGGAGACTCGTTCGCCAATGAAGCCGAAGAAGCAGAAGAAGCTCACAGAACCAGCGTCCTCAGCTTCGATTTTCTCCTTCAGCTCCTTCTGCTTGGGGGTGAGCTCCTTCTTCTCCTTACCCTCCTTCTTGGGGGCAGCCTTCTCCTCCTCCCAGGCAGCCTTGGCAAGGGACAAGAGACCGTTGGTCAGGTCCTTGCCGTCCTTCCACTTGATATCGACAGGCTCGCTGACATAGCCGACGAAGCCGTCCTTGCCGTGGCGCCACCAGAACTTCTTCTCGAGGACCTTGTCCTCAAAGTAGTCATTCTCCTCGAACTCGAACTTGATGGAGACGCTGCGGGGGTCTCCGCCCTCAACGGGGGTGTCGATCTCGAAGCGCTTGACGTCAATGGACTTGATGGAACCGAGGAGGATCTGAGCATCGGTGGGCTGGATGAAGGCGTCAATGTCCTCGGGGGCCTGCTCGATAACAAGGGGCCAGAAGTGCTCGATCTTGGAGACGACCTCGGCGCGCTTTACGTAGAGGTCCTTGGAAAGGTTGTACTGGTGGCGGACTGGGAGGTTCAAAGCGTTAGTATTTGGCAGTCGCAAGGGCGCAGCAACGGTCGCGGGGGTGGAGACTCACTAATCTCGGTCTCGACATCGTCGAACTGAGCCTCAATTTCACCCAGCTGGTCGTAGGTAGCGAAGATCTCTTCGGCGGTGACGATGGCCATTGTGTCTGATTTGAATGGGTAAAAGACTGGGGAGACGGGTCAAGAGTGAGATGTGAGAGGAGAATATGCGGTGAAGAAGTAAGAAAAGAAGTGCCGTGGGACAGAGAGTTGGTTGGCTTTTTAAGCTACAGGTAACTGATAGACCCTCGACAGGCGCAAAAAAAAAAAAAAAAAAGGTTCTGCCCCTCCTCGTCGCAAGGCAGCCTACCAGCAGAGTCGCATCAATGCAGCGCGGGGTCCTGCCCTTCCATCTGCCCCGCCAAAAGTTGTGAACTGGAGCTTGGCATCCACACAACTGCGAAAAGATAGTGGGGCAGCAAGAACGGCGGAGACCCGGGACCCTGCCAAGCAAGGTGGGGCCGTTATGCGTTCAACGGCGAGCTCTCTCTGCCAGCCTGCCCGGCCCGAGGGGTATCCATCCCGGAGGTCTTTCTTCCAGGCACGCCAGGTTCCCGCTCATTAACATTTGGCCTCTCAAACTTCTTTTCTGTATGCGTTTCTATAAGGTGTGGGCAATTGTGTCAAAAGCTCCTTCTGGCCCGTCTAGTTGTGAGTGCTCGCTTGACAGTTGCTGAGAGTGTGCCTTCTCATCATACAATCACCAATCACGAAACATACAGGCAGATAGGTAGCCACACGATTGCTATCTCTTCCTTCTAACCTTAGCCTCAGCCCTGGCTTTGACACAGGGCTGTCGGGAGCTCATGGCGGGGTACCCCCACCATAAAGTGCCGTTACGCAATGAGAAGCTCTCACAGACTACGCCAATGACAGCGTGGAAATCATGAACAACCCCCGCGGAACCTCCATGGACATAAATGGCCTATAAAAAGCCCTCTTGCCCCTTTTTCAAGCAACCCGTCCTCTTATAAACTTGTTCATCTCATCTTGAAGCCAAACACAGCTGTCACAAAGCAAAGACACGAACGCGTGGAGACAGGCATACCAACAGCAGCTCTTTACCGCCAGTCTGCAACGCTGAGGCCCTTCCCTTCCGCTATCGGGCTGTGTTTCATCAAAACAAGCTGCTTTATCAGTTTCCGTCTCCTCGACGAGCTTATCTCTCCTTTTCGCAAGCACCTTCGCCAGCAGCCAGAGCCACAATGCATTGTGTCATTGTTCCCCGAAGTCGGGACCGTTCTTTACTTCTGCCCCAAGGTTATCAACGGCCTTGGGGTTTGAGGGGGGTTGCTCTTTGTCCAGTCGGACGCTCCGCAATTGACTTTCTCTTAGTCAACAGATGGCGCTCCTTGCCAGCAACTGCCAGCGCGTGACCGCATCACCTTCCCAATAACTCGTTTTCAGGTGTCATCCCGAGTTCATCTGCTGCCTGACCGGTGAGCGTTTGGGTAAAGCGGCGGTTCAGTTGCCGATGGAAGGATTGATGTGACGACGAAAAAAGCCGATCCGAACTCACCCGCTTCCGGGATGCTCACCGGCCACCGGAGCTCATTTTTGAGAAGTAACAATCGGGTTTTGATTTTTGAACTCGAAACGTGTTTTCGTAAATTTTGACTCACGGTGGCGGTAAAGCTACCGAGACACAGTATTGAGCCTTGTTCGCCATCAATTGGGAAATAGGAAGGTGTATAAACCGCCCCCAGGTTCTCCACCAAGGAACAACCCTATTTCAACCTACCGGCACTCAAGTAGACAAACCTGCCTCGAACTTGCCGAAATTCTCGATTTAGTTCAGTTCGACATTCAACAGGGCCGGCAGAATGGGCGGCGTCACTTTCATGGAGGGCAACCCGGACCGGAAGTTCCCCGAGTCCCGGGTCCTCATCATCATGACCGGCGGCACGATTTGTATGCAGCCCTCCGCTGATGGCCTCGTCCCAATGAGCGGCTTTCTCGAACTTGCCATGGCTCCCCGACCTTCCTTCAACGACAGCACGGCTCCGTCCAGTAAGTATACCTTACCTTTATCACCCTCAGTTCTACACGTTGACTAACCCCCCATCACAGCCAATATAACAGCCTACACAAAAGAAGGCCACAAACTCACCCTATCCTCCCTCCGGACCCCCACCTCAGCCTACTGCAAACACATCCGCTACTCCATCCTCGAGTTCTCCCCCCTCCTCGACTCCTCTAGCATCGCATCAGCAGGGTGGACAGACATCGCCCTCACCATCCAGCAAAACTACCACCTCTTTGACGGCTTCGTCATCCTCCACGGCACCGACTCGCTAGCTTACACCGCTTCGGCCCTGTCGTTCATGCTCTCTGATCTCGGCAAACCAGTCATCCTCACCGGCTCCCAGGCCTCAATCTTTGCCCTCCAATCCGACGCCGTCGACAATTTACTGGGCAGTCTCATCATCGCAGGCACATTCACCATCCCGGAAGTCTGCCTTTTTTTCCATCACACTTTGTTCAGAGGGAACCGCACAACAAAAGTCTCGGCCTCAAGCTTCGAAGCGTTCGACTCCCCCAACTCTGACCCCCTGGCGAAGGTGACAAGTTTGGGAGTAGATGTAAACTGGGGTTTAGTCCGGCGCCCAACCCGCATCAAAGAATTCAACGTCACCAAAACCCTCGACACGACTCACGTTGCCTCGCTTCGCATCTTTCCCGGCATCTGGCCTCAGCTGGTCGACTCTGTCCTTCGTGTCCCTGACCTGAGGGGTTTGGTTCTCGAGACGTTTGGCATGGGGAATGCGCCGGGGGGTGTGGATGGGCATCTCACAAAGGCGATCAAACAGGCGGTTGAGAGGGGGATTGTCATTGTCAATGTCAGCCAGTGTACTAATGGGTTTGTGAGCCCGTTGTACGCGCCGGGGACGGCGCTGGGGAGGGCGGGGGTGGTGTTTGGGGGGGATTTGACGACGGAGGCGGCGTTGACGAAGCTGAGTTATTTGCTGGCGTTGAAGGATAGGGGGACGGTTGGGTTGGAGGAGGTGAAGGAGATGATGGGACGGAGTTTGAGGGGGGAGATGACGGAGTTGAGGGTTGCGAGCTTTGTTCACCCGGCTGGGGTGGTGGAGGAAGATGTGGTGGGGAAGATTACGGCTGCGGGTAGGTTTTTTTTTAATTTTTTTTATTGTTGATTTTCACATTTCTCTTGAGTGGTTAATCCTAACTGGTTTATTTTTCTGTCTACAGAATCAGCCTTTACAGCCCTAGGCTACGCAATCAGCAACGGCGACCTCCGCACCGTACGGGAGCTTTTGGAAGGGGACGAGTTCAACCACCAGCTCCTCAAAAAAGCGGACTACGCTGGCAACACGGCCGTTCATCTTGCCGCTGTCGGGCCCGAGCCAAAGATCCTCAGGGAGGTCCTCGAGCGGGGCGCTAGCGTACACGTCAGGAACCGGGCGAACAACACGCCGCTTTATTTGGCGGAAAAAATGGTTGCCAGCGGGACGACGCCGAAGAGCGAGGAGTGTGTCGGTTTGTTGAAGGAGGCGGGGGGCCATCTGTGGTTGGAGAATGAGGAGAGCATGGCTAATAGCCGGAGGGGTTCTGTGGGGGGCAGGGAGAATGGAAATGGAGTTAACGCCAAACCAGCCGAGGAGAAGTTGACTTTGGAAGTGGAGGCTCCTCTCCTTGGTGACCCAGAGAGTTTTCTCTGGGGGGGTGCGACGGAGAAGGTCCGTCAGGAACACGACGCTGTGTGGAAGAACGCGATGGAGAGAGTTCGCAAGGAGCAGGATTCTGTCATTGAAAGAGCACGCAAGGAGCTGGATACCAAATTGAGGCAGGAACTCGCAATGGTCGAGGCTGAGAGGGCCAGGCTGCTGAAAATTGGGGATACGCCGAATGTGCAGGGTGGTGCTGACGATATCGAGTCGACAACGGGAAAGATCATCAACTGAGGAGTATACCCGAGCTGGGTGGTGATTTGGTTGGAGATGTTTTCTTGGGGTCTGAATCTTGAGACAGCGTACATGCTTCATGTAGACGTCTATGCCCAAGTTTTTGGCCATATGATATGTGGTTTCGTTTGGTTGGTTGAACATGCAAGAAATTATCTACCGATGGGTAGATCGGGTCCGTTTTTTGGGTCTTGTTTGCGGGTAGTATCTAGATAGATCAGATGCTCAAGAGTTGGGGGCGGCCTTTTCGTGAGCTGCTCTGTTTTGTTTTACATGTCAGTAGATGTAAACCAATCGTTAGTTTTCAACCACGAGGCTGCAGCCTGAAGACCATCAATGGGGGCTAAAAGACCCCATATCTACCGGCAGGCTACCGATGTAAAGGCCTCATCACACGCAGACGCAACTCTATACATGTGCACTTTTCACTCACTTGCAGCTTACAAACCTATGCATACCTAGGGAGAGCGGCCGATCAGGGGGGGTAGTACAAAAACTTGTAGTTCGCTTGAGGAGCTGGCTTGGTTCATGAGTAGATCTTTTCCCACACCACCTCAGATGCAGCTCACCCTCGATGGGGCTGGTTGCCTCGCCCAGCTTCGGCACGAGTAAGGTACCCGGGCTTTGGTGTTCATCTGTGAGGTGGGTGTTCAGCTGCAAGGCCTGCCAGATCAGGATTGGAAAATCAGAAAGTGGGCCGGTTGGATAGGTGGCCTTGTGGAGGTGGCCGCCGGTTGATGTAAGTGACGACTGGATGGGAAAGGAAGGCTGGGCTTCGCCCATATGTGCTTCAGGGTGCATTCATCTACAAGATTTTGAACTTTAGTTGAATCGAGGGGAATGGCCTTATTTCAGCTCAAGGCGGCCGCTGAGGCTGGAGATGACGGTTTTGTTTATGGAGGGAATGGGATGCCTCCAGTGGCTCGTGGTTGTTGTGGCTGTTGCTCATGCCTGACGCATATCCTTTTGCCTCTTGACCCGGAGTGTGCCTGGATGACTAGGTAGATATGAGTCCTTGAAGAGTTTTCTTTTTTGCCTTGAATCCTACGTGGAAAATTAGTTGAGGTGATGAGGAATAAGAGGAGCCGATGCTAAGCTTGAGGTTCCTACAGCCTTGCATGATAGGCTTCTGAGAGTGCTGGGATGGTGTGTGGTGGTGCATAACCGAGGCACGTTGACTAACGGAATCCGCCCAGGATGACACACTGAGTAGATAGTGCCTTCCCTTCTAGGTGTCGAATGGTGGCCCAGGTGATGACTTGCAGGCAGTGACAGGCACCGGCAACCTCTTTGTGAGGGATTGCGGTGACTAAATCAAGAAGTGTCATCGTTATACTTCTTTCAATAACACCCCTTGCTCTTGGTTGAGCCTCATCTATCGCAGAGACCACCTTCTTTGAAAACAAGCTATCGCCACATGAACATTCGGTCAGAAAAAACTCACTCACATGCCGCATGACCTTTTCGACTTTGCTGTTGCTGCCTGGGCCATGTTCGACCGAGATCACCGGCAGCCCATATCATTCTCTATGTCAGGTAGGTGTTGGTTCCATACCTGGTACTGTTTCACTTGCAAAAGAAGGGTTCACCACAGGACGTGACTAGGTTCTCGGTGAGTGCCACAGCATACGATGCTGCTTTTCCACTCTTGAAGCTGCTTGCATGCCCGAGGGTGGGGGACGCTTTGCAGCAGAGCGTGCAGTTGGGCCTTTGTTGTTGGTTCGACCCTTCATCCACCACACCAACGATCGTCCAGAATCACCTCTCGGTCCCCTGCATCAGGGCCCTTTGGGCCGCAGGCTATCGGGCTTGTCGAAAAGCAGTCAAAATAAAGCGGGAAAGGCAGCCATTCCCTAAACTTACCACTTCCCTGGGTCACCCGGGGCTGGTATCACTTTACCCAAGTCCCACAGGAGCGATATCACCGTGGCCTCACTGCGGGTCGGACTAGGCCGGCCTACGTAGCGACCTTTGGTGTTGTTTCTCCTCATCACCGGCCTCCGCCACGGAGCGCGTTTTGCGGGGTTTACACTGCACAGGCAAGCAACACTGCAATTGTTTGTTTGTTGTGGTCTGTTCTCAACCGGTCCAGTAACTGCGCAAGTGGTTCTCTATGGATTCCAGAGGACCCGGGGGAATGGCTTGTACTAGAATATCAAGACGAACGTGGGTTAAGCATGTGACACAGCAGAGACACAAGACAGAAATCTCTGCCACTTCTTTGCGGGAGACAAAACACTAGCCATGCTGCTACCCGAGCACCTCTCCCCCAGAAAGTTGATCTCTGTGTGGCCACACCATTTCTCGTGAACGTATTGCCACAAGAGAGGCAAGCACGATGAGTTTGGCACCCGCTGATCCAGAAAACCGGAAAAAGAGGACAAAGACTGGCATGAGTGAGTGTTTTCCCCGGTTTCTTCTCTGTAAGGCTGATTTGCGGATTTGGATGCTGCCCAAAGGGGGTAGTTAAGCATGGCCCGCGTAATGGGTAAGGCGACCTCTTCCTTTCTTCCTACCTAGGTAGGCTTCATGCACGTCTCTGCTCTGGTTTCTCGGCCTAGGAGTATTAAAGGGCTCTGCTTCCTCCAGACTTTCTTCTTCTGGATTGATTACTTGCAGGAAGGTTCTCGACCGCAGCCAACAGCTTGACAGAGGCCTCAATACCTCCAGAACCAACTCCTCACGGCCCATTTAACAGCGGCTCGTTGGTGAAGTCGGTTTTCTCTTCTCTCTTCTTCTTTCTCTACACAGGATTCTTCAGACAATATGGACTTCTCCCACCTCCTTCGGACGGCTCTGCCTCCATTTGTTGGTAATGTGAGCGCAGAAGACAACAATGCCACCCAGAATATCGTCGAAACCCTCACGCCACTGCTCGGTTTGCAGTTCAACCCATTTTTGAATCTGTTCATGATTTTCTACGACTTGGCCGGCGGTCGCCTCGGCACACTGGGTTTAAACCCAGCGTATATTCTGACCTCATTTGGACTGGCTTGGGCTTTCAACAAGACGTGGTTGCATATCTACGCAAACGTCATGTCAATTCTGGGAAGGTATTTTACCGCCTCGGTTCAGGTCAACAGCGGGGATAACATCTACGACCACCTGATGAAGTTCCTCGCCAACCGGCAGGACATGACCGAATCTCGCTCTCTGACGGCAGAGACGTGGTTCAAGCCAACATCAGAAGAGGCGGACGAGGCAGACTTGTTCCGGACCAAAATCTCGCCCGACGGCGAAGGGGTCAACCTCAACTTCTCCAACCAAGAGTCCAAGTGCCCCCCTCGTTTTACGCCCGCAATCGGACTGCACAACTTTTGGTTCCGGGGCAAGTATTTCGCGCTGAGCCGGCAGCAGGAGACGCTGCACACAGACAACAGCTGGGGCGGCTCGCAGTACAGGGACAGGGAGTCACTTGTTCTGTCCTGCTACGGCCGTTCGCCTGAGCCTATCAAGCGCCTTCTCGAGCATGCGAAGCAAGAGTACTACAGCGAACACAACGCCAGGACCATTGTCAAACGTCCGGCTTCACAGAGCATGAGGAGCTATGGTGGCCGGCACAGCTGGTCCATGGTGGCAAATCGGCCGGTTCGCCCCATGAAGACGGTGGTACTGGATGAGAAGCAAAAGGTGCAAGTGCTTTACGACATGAACGAGTACCTCCACCCTTCTACTCCGCGATGGTAAGTATTTCTCTCACGAACCGCATCATATGGAATAATATTCTAACTCTCTATTTCAGGTATGCAAATCGCGGTATTCCCCTCCGTCGAGGCTATCTTTTCCACGGCCCGCCAGGGACAGGCAAAACGTCGCTGTCCTTTGCCCTGGCCGGTGTGTTTGGCCTTGACATTTACGTTATCTCGCTCCTTGACCCGTCTCTAACCGAAGAAGACCTTTGTGCGCTCTTCAACTCCCTTCCGCGTCGTTGTGTGGTACTGCTCGAGGACATTGACACAGCTGGACTTGCTCGCCCGGGCGACTCAACTCCTGCTTCTGAAGACGGCGACGACAGTGACGAGAAGTCCAAGGACAAGCCAAAGAAGAAGGACAAGGATTCCAAAGACAAAAAGTCTTCGGAATGGAACGTCGCCGACTTGGCCCGGGAGCTCAAGAAGCAGTCATCGAGTGAATCTACAGATAAGAAAGGCATTTCACTCTCTGGCCTGCTTAATGCTATTGATGGCGTCGCCTCTCACGAGGGCCGGGTTTTGATCATGACAACTAACAAACCGGAGACACTCGATGAGGCTCTCATTCGCCCCGGGCGGGTCGATCTTCAAATCGCCTTTACCAACGCCACCAGGGAACAAACCTGTGAGTTGTTCAAGAGGATGTACGACGCCGACCGGACCGCCACCACGCCTTTTCAAAAGGAGGACAGACCCCAGTCTACCACCACCACCCGTCTCCGCTCCCGCCTCGCCTTCTTCCGTTCTCCCTCCAACAAAATTACAAGGACCATCTCCGCCCCGGTGGTTCGTCAGCTTCCCCTCAATGACAACTGCGGCGAGAAAGACGGCAACCTAACCGACACATCGGTCACCACAACAGCAGTCGACCTCGACTCCGACCTCTGCTCCCTCCCCTCCTCTGCCTCCCCAACAAAGATATCTTTTGCCCCGGAGGAAGTCAACAAGCTCCTCGCCGAGGAGATTGACGACCTGAAGCCCATCACCCCGGAAGAACTCGACAAGATCGCGCAGGGCTTTGCCTCCAAGATCCCCGAGGGGCAGTTCTCGCCTGCGGAACTGCAAGGGTTTCTGCTCAAGAGGAAGAGGGAGCCGAGAAGGGCGCTGAGGGAGGTGGGTGTTTGGGTCGAAGGGACGCTGGAGCAGAAGAAGAGCAAGACCAAGGTCGTCAGGGTGCAATGACTTGAAGACAGAAAACCAGAAAGGGGCAACTTTGCTGGATGAATTCTTTTTGCTTTTTTACACTTAATATTCTCTAGTTTGTTGTCTTCATATTTTTCGTACCATGCGGACTTTCTTTGAGCAGAGCGGGGGGCACAGATGCATACACGTGAGCAAAGATTGGGTTTCAGCAACGACAGGATGTTTTTTCTCGGGGGTTAGGTTAGGTTAGGTAGGTAGGTAGGTAGGTAGGTAGGTAGGTAGGAAGGAAGGATTTGGATATGGACATGGAAAGAGGATGGATGGATGGGGGGGCGTTGGGGTTTCCTTTTCCTTTTTGTTCATGACGGACGATCGGTATCTATCTATTGTGAAGTTTCGCTTTGTCCTCTTTTAGAAATGCAGAACATGAGAATATGAGGTATATGAAGTTCCTTGCAAAACGACTCTCATCTCCAACCATTTTCTTGTACTCCAACTTGCCCCCTGGTCTAATCGAGTGGACTTTTCATCATGTTTTGCTTTGCAGATCCCATCCCTCCTCCTTCTTCGACACGCTTCCTCATCCTAAACATACCGGAACACAAAAGCTGGTTTGGTCCCGTTTGCCGGGTTGGTCCCCAGGCCGGGGCCGGGGCCGGCTCGTCTCGGCTTTCGGCGGTCCCCACCACCCCCGTTCTGGCCCCACCCCTTTCACCCCCTCCCACCCGGTCCCGTCCAAACTTATCACACAATGAATGTCTATTCTTTTTTGTTTTCTCACCAACAAATCCCGGGCCCTCCTCCGTTTTGCCTCGCTTATCCCGCTGCCCGTCCAGTTGGATCAAAGAAAAAATTCAAGCTAGAAAGTAGTAGCACCGGCCGCTGCCGAGATTCATGCGTTAGCTATTACGGACCTACCGAACCTGAACCTCCCACATATGTAAAAAGTTCGGACGACGTAACTCCGGGACGGGTCAGCAATGGGGGAGTGTCTTGCGACTGGGAAGTGGTCCTATTGGTGGGCTTGCAATCTTGCATGAACAATGAGATTCCCTGAGGATGGTGTTGTGGGATTTTCTTTACATCCACTGCCCCTAGTCTGATATTTTGTTGGGTTGGCATGGCTGGGAAGTTTGAACCGGCAGGACGGCTCGGTAGAGATGACTGATTTGGGGTTGGGGTTTCTTGTGAGTAGTGTCTCCATTGTTACTAACTGGACGGCTCGGTACCTATGGCCAACTTGGGACTGGGGCATAGTTGTGGGTGTTATGATGTACAGGATGGTGCGGTATATCAGTTGTTAGCTATTTGTAAGTCTGAAGGTTGGGTTGGGGGAGATGGCGAGGGGGTTTCCTATCTGACGATGGAGTTTTGTCCCGTAGGCGGGGGAGGAGGAAGGTTGGTAGGTAGGCATCAGCATGAAGCTGCTGACACACCTGATCGTGATGAATGGTGCTACGCCTTGGGATGGATGAGAAACGGTGAGATGGCCATCAACTCCGTTGTCTTACTTTCAGTCCGAAGAACACGTCGATGATAATCATGCTCATCCCGTCTCAAACCATCCTCCCAACCGGCCCGATCACGACCCAGACTTACCTCATGTTTCAACCGTCTGCCTACTTCCCCGGTCACAGGGATTGAAGCTGACCCGAACGCACAATCGTGGCGTGGATTTATGCTTGACCTGATGTGCCTTGCAGATCCTCCACATTTTCTTCGAAACAATCGAAACTTTGGGAGGAAGGAAGGACCGGTCGTCAGCTCCTACTGCAAGTGCGGCTGGGACCGCTACCTGCCTTGCCTTCTGTGGAGCGAGGCTTCGGTGTTGGAAACTGTGGCGTTCTTTCCTTCAAAAGTGTGTGGTAGCTGCGGTCGGGAGCACTTTCTTACTTGCTCTCCTGGATTGTAGGTAAGGAAGGAACTTTGCGATCACCTCAACATAGAGAATACAAGTTGTGTCTTCAGGGGAAAGGCCGATCATGAATCTTCCTCAAGAGATTCAAATCCAATCATCCCAACTTCTACACCAAGCCAGCTCGGAATCCCGGCAACCAGTAACATCCCATAGCTCTACCACCTCCCCTCATTCAGGAACAGGAGGCCCCAACTGCCGTTTAAGGGGTAGAATTCCCAAGGTGGCACAGGTAGGTGGCCTTACACCCACCCCAGCTTTTCAACCTCACGTTGGCCTCAACTCAGGAACCACTGACTGGTTGGATCAATCCCCCAAGCCTCAACAGCAGAAAAAACAAAAAAAAAACAAAAAAAAAAACAAAAACAAAAAATCTGGATGGAAGAAGACGGCTGGCTCTGTTACGCCGCGGGGTATCTGACCTACCGCGCAACAAAAGAACTACTTATAATTCCTGCTCCAATGAGAAGCTCTGAAATGGTCTTATACCAGCACAATCAAGCACCACCAAAACAAAACTACACCAAAAACCAACCTTCCTAATCCGTCCTAACTGGGATTATTACCCCACGAAAACTATCGTGCAGGAACGCGGTGAGAGGAAATTGTTCGTTGACTTGTCTGTGCCTGCATAATCGCTTGCGTTATGCCTATACATGCTTTTAATCCGCCAACGCCAACCAAACGTGGGAAAGCCGGGGAGCGAAAATCATGCAAGGTAGCAAGCGAGCAATCGTCTTTTTCTTCATCCTTCTGTCGTACCGTGATGGTTTGTTTTACTGTTGCCGTTGCTCTCGCTTCACGGGTGGGGTAAAAGGTGATGATGCGCATTTCTATGGAAAATGTGATGATAAGAATGCAACGGTGATCATCACGACAACTCTGTAACGGTGGCTCTCCCAGGAAATGAAATCTCGCGTCAATTATTTCGCACAGACGTTGACCACCCATTCCGTTGATTCCCGGGAAAAGTTGGTTGAAGAAGAAAGGCGAGTTGAAACATTTCCACCCCCTGAACTCCTGAAACTAACACCCCCACCACCACACCTCAACCTGAAAGGGAGAGCTCCCTATCATCTCGCCAAGGAGGGGTTGAAGAAACCAAAGAAGAAAAAAAACGGTGACAATACGACAAGCTTTTCTTCCATCACGAGAAAAACGACAATGTTGCAGTGTCAAAGACACAAGCGATAAGTAAAACCGCGAGCGTGGTGATCCTGGTGGACGGGAAGGGAGGGGGGAGGTGAAACATCGTGACCGACTCGGCGGTGATTGATCCTTGAATGAGATGGTTACGGAGACTAAGTTCACTGTCACGATAAAAGTTTGTAGGCAAATTGCTTCAAAATATTTCAGATATTCTTTGTGCCTGCCTTGCTTATTGTGGTTGCAAAAAAAAAAATGCTTGTATCCTTCCCAAGTGGTATCATATATGTCATTCCAATCCAGCCCAAAGTCATATCCCACCCTCCTAGCAAAATCAAAAACGCCTTGCCCTTCAAGGGGGGGTTTATCATCCCATCATTATATGCCCCCGCTTTGTAGTCCCAAATCCAATAAACTCCATGCCATGCTGATAGTATTGTCGGTGTAATGTGTGTGCGTAAAATGCAATCTGATCCGATACCTTAAACCCTCCCAGTAAATTTCACACTCCTCCTCCTAGCCGACAACCCGCTCAAGATCCCCCTCTTCTGCCTCTCCGTATTTGGCGATGTCGGCGAGAGGATATCACTCGGAAGACCTGGCTGCGATCCACTCATGACAATGGCGTTCTTCTTGACAGCCCTGAGGATGTCGTTGTATGTGATCGGGGTCTGGGGTGTCTTGTCGCCAACCCTGCTGCTGATGTTCTCCTTTTCCTCGTCATGCTCCTCGAGTTGGTCGTCCAAGACAGAGACAGAGTGCTGCAACGAGCTCCTCTTGATGCTGGTAGACGGTCTTGGCTGGTGTGACACACTAGACCCCGACGTGTCAAGCGTAGGTCGGCTCTTCTTGCGAGCCAAGCTAAACGACCTCGTGACACCCTTAAAGATCTGAGTAGGCGTCCGTGGTGTTTTGGCAGCCTCCCCCTCCAGACTGTCAAGCGGTTTTGGCACCGCCTCCAGCGAGTAGTGAGATCCGTTGGCGTAAGGGTCAATGCTCAGAAACGGGGGAGGCTTCCTCTTGTTGGTGAGAAGGTCAGAAAGCAAGCCACTGCTGCTTCGCCTGTTGGGGTTGCTGCTGCGGGCCGAGAGGCTGCTTGCTGGTGTGATTGGTCGATCACCGGAAGGGTGAATGGGTGCTGTCGTGGATGGTTTGAGAGACTCAGACTCGGACGACTCGGTGCTATTCCTTGTCCTGCTTGTGTTCACAGAAGACGAGCTCAGTGACACGGAACGCTGTTTTCTGAGAGAAAGGTTGACGATTGAGGGTTTGCCTGCAAACACCACCGAGACCACTCTTGCCGTGACCTCCTGGCTGCCTCGTCGGGTAGCGGCTGTGGGAGAGTCGGGGTCCTCGATGCTCGAATCATAGTCATACTCGGAAAAATCGTCGGCGTCGGAGGAGGCGTCCTCCTCGGAGGAAAGGTAGATGTCGTGCGGTGTGGTGGCCTGTCCTTCCTCTCCTCCCAGCTTCAGTCCGTGGTTGTCCAATATCCTTGACACCCTCCTCGAACTCTTTTTGGGAAGCTCAGGGACGTCGTTGGAGGGATTGGTGCGAACCCTCTTGGGGCTCGGAGCCAGTGTGTCGGGGTGTTCCTCGTCCATATCGTGATATTCGTCAAAGATGGGCTCGTCAAATTGTGTTGCTGTTTGCTTGTTTGTATATGCAATGTCCGGTTGGCTGTTCTCCTCGAGGTGACTGTCCACCAAAGACATGACCCTCCAGCAAGACTGTATAATGTAATTCAAGCAAGTGGCCAAGGGATATATGATCTTCGTGTTCTCGATCCCTAATATCGAGCTCTCGTAGTGGGGGAGGGGGGCGAGCAGCTGAGGATCACTGGAATGGGGCGTGGACTATGGTATGGAGATTGGGGAGACCAGAAGAAGGGTAGGATGTTCCGAGAGGGCGGGAGGGTTTATTTTAATGCAGAGCTACAGCAGGATAAGGTGACGGTCCAAGGCCAAGAAGTGGGTGT